AAGGACAAGAGGAACGATTTTAACCCAAAGATGAATGATTTTGATGAAATGTTAGGAGGATATTCTATCTTAGTCACTAAGTTTTTGTAAAGAAGCTGGAACTCTGAGCTCATCACAGGATCTCAGAATGGTTTGGGTGGGAAGGGACCTTAAAGCTTATGCAGTACCACCCTGTGCCATGGGCAGGGACACCTCCCACTGTCCCTGGTTGCTCCAAGAACTGTCCAACCTGGTCTTGGACACTGCCAGGGATCATGGGGATCCACAGCTGCTCTGGGCACCCTGGGCCAGGGCCTGCCCACCCTCACAGCCAGGAACTCCTTCCCAATATCCCATCTGAATCCATCCCTGCCACAGGCAGGGACAATTTTTGGAAGGCAGGAACATCTGGCGATCCTCTATTCCTACTCAGTGCCATCTGGAGAAGGCCCACCCTGAAACTGTGGCAGTTTGCTCAGAGCCTTTTCCAGTGAAGGTCTGGGTATCTCCAAGGAAATTCCACAGTTTCACCTTAGCAGCCTCTTGTAATGTTGAATGAATGCATCTGCTTAATAAATTTGCCTTGAAATTTCACAAAACTTTAGTAAATTTTCTCAGGATGGATTTCCTTTCCTTTCCTTTCCTTTCCTTTCCTTTCCTTTCCTTTCCTTTCCTTTCCTTTCCTTTCCTTTCCTTTCCTTTCCTTTCCTTTCCTTTCCTTTCCTTTCCTTTCCTTTCCTTTCCTTTCCCTTCCCTTCCCTTTCCTTTCCTTTCCTTTCCAGCTATCCATTTATCTATCTATTTTTCAGTGAAAAAAATAATATAAAAACTAGTTTGATTTGTGGCCCAGAAAATCTGCTGTAGTCTAGGACCATGAGCCATTTCCTTTCAGCCCTAAGTAAACCCTTTTTTTTGGTCAGATATTGAAAAGTGCAGATATTAATTTACCTTACTTATAATGTCTCTCATTCTGTTCCAGCCTTGAGAGACATCAAAAGCTTAGGTGAAAAAGGAGTAGGAGTCATGTCACTTGTGCTAGGCTCAATCTTTTTTGCAAATAACAACAATCCTGGTTTTTTTGGTGATTTTACTTCAGGAGCATAGGCCACCAGAAGCTGTGAATTACTCCAACATATAACACAGCAGTGTTTTTGGTTTCATCATTAAGAATAAAACCTTCTTGCCAAACAGATCTACTGAGTGTGAAGTGGACAGGCATCTGCCCTGCTTTGAATCTGCTCTTTGAAACTGATATTTTTCTCATTAGCTGCCTCATGCTGGGAAGGGTATCAGTTTCAGCTGCAGGTCTAGGAAGTTGCCCATGCTAAGAAAATTTCACCAGCTGTTGATCTTATTTCAAAAATTTAGTTATCCATTGAACTTGAGGTTCTTAGTTTATGAAGAACTTGAGTTTATGAAGAACCTGAGTTTATGAAGAACTTATGAAGAACTTGAGGTTCTTCATTTATGGTTACCTTTACATCAAAAAGTACAAGCATACACATCCACTAAACTGCATGATACTTTTCAGAACTGAATGTTGCATGTTTGAAATGTCATAAATTACATTACTTAAGCAAGGACAGACCATTGCTCAACCAAAGTCCCTTACTAGGACACTGAAAAATAGATCAGAATTTAAATATTTAAACTAATAGAACTTTAGAATTAACTGCAAAATGAGTATTACTGAAAAAATAAGAAAGTTCTTTAAAAGATAACATTTGATAGTTTAGGAGCTACAAAATATTGACAGCTTGCCAGGATCACATGGAACATACACTCCCTCCAACAAAGATGGTCACACATCATTTTTACTTGCAAAATCACTTACAAGATATTGACAGGAGCAGCAGCAAAACAGAACTGATAACTGAGCACACAGTTCTCACATTGCCAGGAAAAACAGGCCAACAGCTATTTCCTTCTCAGATCTCAAGCTGGGATATATATAACTGAGTTCACAAACCAGAAATTATCATCTGCCCAGTCTTAGAGGATCAAAAAGTGGCATTTTGCTGAAACTACACAACTAGCTAAAAAACACCAAAAATATTATTATTAGCATTTAAACTTGTCACACCAGAAGTTTAGACTTTAAAGGTCAAAGACATTAGTGTGAGATTTCCTTTCAGAAGTTGTACCTTTCTTCCTCCTCTTGAAAAGGGAGCAGGAAGCTCCTCGATGGCTCCACATCCTTGCTGGTAAGACCCAGAGAGGCCTCAGTGGGAACATTAGTGAGGTGGGATTTTTGTACTAATTAAAGCAAATTTTCCTAATAGAGACTGCATTGAGTTATAATCAATAAATTTAAATATTTTACAGCATGTCCTAATACCCAAATAGCAAGAATCACATTCTTGAGAGTTTTGTAAGGCAATTACATCCTGTTTCTTTGGGAAATAGTTGGAAAGTTAGTAAATGAGCACTAAAAGTTAGAACTGATAATGATGGGCAAACGCAATAAAAAGTTATTTTCTTGTTCTGTGACTCTGAATCCAATTAGAGCAATTCAACTGCCCTGCATCACCTCCTTTTGCTCACTCTTTCCCAGAAATGAACTATTGATTGCGCCTCTAGTCTGTCATTTTCAGTGACCTAGCCAGCCTCCCACACACCAATTTAAAAAACAGTTTCCAAGTAAAAGCTGTTCTGAAAATGAGGTAGACGTAAATTCATCAAACCCAACAAAAAAAAAAAAAAAAAGAAGGTTATTCTAATTCAATCCTATAACAATTTGGTCTTTAGAAGTTCTACACAGTTAGACTTGAGCTATCTGGGAACTTTGCAAGAACTTGAGTCCCTCTCCTCATGCATGGCTCCCCAGGTGCCATCCAAAGCCTCCTACCAAGGGTCAGAGAGTGAACAGTTGACTTATTTAATGAGACAGGCTGTTTTCCAGTTTTCCAAGGTTTGTTTCCATGTCAATTCTGGGGTTCTGAGGCTTCTGGGTGCACCTACTTCACTCCAATCACTGTACTCAGTGATAGATATGTAGCTACCACAAAACCTTTTCCTCCTGGCAGCTTGGTATTTTCAAAGCACTTCCATATCCTATGAGGGAAGATTCTATATAAATGCAAATACTGACTATTCCCATTTTGTCATTTTTTCTGACAAGAAAACACTGCTGGTTTTCAATACTTTAAAAAACACTTATGCTTGAAATATGAAGTTAACTCCTAAAAATAAGTTCATATTAAAGTAAACATAATAACAGCCAAGAACAAAATCACTCTGTAAGAGCAGAGATTTAGATTTGGAGGAAACTAAGACTGGTGGTCAAAAATCCCTTTGTTCCGTAAACAGCTTAATCTAAAAAAGTTGCAGTCTTTCAAAACCATGATTCATACACATATTGATATGCTCTAGAAATATCAGAATTATTCTAGAAACAGGTTTAGGTCCTTCTGTACATTGACTTTAAAGCAAGCTTATTTGGTGTCTGTCTGAAATTTGGATAATTTTTGAGCAAAAAAATCTACTTGTTTGGTAACTGTTGATTTAAAATAATACAAATAATTAGTCCATCAAATCCTTCAAACTGATGTACCTGTGGAAAAGTCTTTTGAGAAGGGAGCTGTGTGCATAAACCCTCCTGGCAAACAGTGCTGAGCACAGGGCAGTGGGTGGCTGGGGAGTCATTTTGTTCTTCAAAATAAAGCTGTAATAGGCCGTGGGTGCTGCATCATCCCTCTGGAGTGCAATTAATTGCAATTACTGCAGCTTCTGTTTGTGGCTTCTGACACACTTGCAGGGATAGCTGAGTATTCTCTTTCTGTCCATGAAACAAGCTGCATTTTCTCTGTTGTGTTTGATCTGATCTGCTCCTGGTCCATCTTGGTTTGGGGGTTGTTTTTTTTTTAATCTTTGCTTTTGTCTTTCTCTCTGTTCCATGATGTCTCTGCACCCCTGAAAACCTTGCGTGCAATTAGAGCGTGTAATGGCAGAGAGGTGCAGTGCTGCTATCAGCCTCCCCTGCGCGTGATGGGGAGATTTATCACTGCAATCTCCCAGCAAACTGGGGGAAAGTGGATAACGGACCCTAGATAAGAGAGTTACTTGAAACCAGAGAACAATATCTTAAATCTCTGTCCAAGGACACAACCAGTGTCACATTTGTGGGGTCAGGTGCCAAGACATGGGTTCCTTTTCTTCCCATCTCCACCCCACACGGGATCACCTGCCTGCTATTTGTTTTCATGGGGTGCTGCATGACCTGCAGCCTCAGCAAACACCCTGAGCACTCATCCCTGAAAACTCATGCTCGTGCTCAAATGAACATTTCTTTGATTAACTTGGCAGCATCCGCACAGTGCTCAAATTCTATTTAGGTAGCACAGGAGAAAACTCCCTACAACCCCACAGAAATCATGTTGAGGCAAATCAGCTCTGAGTCAGATTAAATAGGACTTAATTTGACTTCTGATTTGTTTACACTTCATCACACAGCCAGTCTCCATTATGATCCCTCTTTATTTCCTACTTCTACAATTTCACACCATTCTGTTAATATATGAAACTATTATTAGAATTATTCAAGTACTCCGAGGTTTTTTTTGGCAACTCAGTTACCTGCAGGTGTTAGCAGCTTGCTAGCACATCTAAAGGAAGCAATCTAAAGTACACGGTGAAGTTCTGCACGTAATTGCAAGAGATCTTTAGCTTTCAGTTCCCCCTCCACAGCACTCATGCATCTTACAGATGTGCCATGCCTGCCTCTGAACTCCCACTTCCTGACATAACAAGGGTATTTTGCTTTAGAGAGAAAAAATACCATTTGAAAAAACTTAATTTCTCTGTGTTTGGAGTTGACTCACAGTTTTTAACCCAGCTTTCAGATCAATGCAGATGGCTGCGGAGCCAGGTTTCCCGTAAAACTCGTGGGAATGGATCAGGAACGTGCCGAGCAGAGAGCAGCACATACCCTGGGCAAGAAACCCAGCCAGACTAGGAGAGCAGCAGCAACCTGGCGCTTTGCAATCAAACTGCCCCTTATTTTACTGTGGCTGCTTATTTACCTTCCACACACGCTGTGGCTGCCCTCCTATTTTGCCAGGCTGCCCTTGTCTCTGTGTTTCTCCTCCAGCGCCACTCAGGGGCTCCTCCTGCTTCTCTGGCTCTTTCGATCCCGGGCTGTGCGCCTCTTCCCTCCCGGACTGTCGAGCCGGATCCAGCCTTCACCTCTGCATCACAGGCAGCTTCCACCAATGCTGCATTTCAGCTTCCTCCTGATGTCAAGTTTCAGCCCAGCCCACGGCTCTTGCATCATGAGCTGGAAAACCCTCCTATGCTCCAGACTTTGCAAGGGATGTTTGCAGAGAAGCAGCAGTTTTATTCGCTCTGTGCTTGATGCCCCATTTCTTTTGCAGCTTTTCTCTCTTATGTGACAAGAAACAGCTGTTTGTGTGGAGGGAAGCCTCTTTCTTGAGCTAAATCCCTTTCCTTTTCTAGAAACAGATCTCTCAGTTACTCCAGTGGGACTGAAATCCCCTGGAGTCAATAAAACTTCTCAAAGGAGCATTTCTTCTATCAGGCTTTATTTTTATATTCATAAGAAACATTTACACCACTTTAAAAGGGGATTATTTCTCTCAAAATAACGTGATTCTAAACCTAAAATTTTAAATCCATGCAACTTTTTTATGTGCATGAGTGCTAAAAAGCAAAAAAAAAAAAAAAAAAGAAAAAAAAGGGAAAAAACCAAGGAAACAAGGGGTGGGGTGTGTGCTGGTGAAATAAATTACTTGCATAATTTTTAGTTAAATGCTGAATCTACAGGGTAATCCTGCAAACCTCCTCATGAGCAACTTGATTCAAACAATGACCTGTTTGGAGTCACTCAGGTGTGTACAGTGGCAACACAAAACAGGTTAGAATTTTCAGAGTCTGGGTTATTAGCTTAATATCTGATTGAGGCCGGGACTGACTGCTGCTGTTTGTTTAACACACTGCACAAAGCAGTTTTCTGCTCCTGCAAAAGGCCTCGGGTGCAGATCTGCAGTGAGACTGAGCACTCACAGCAGATTGCTGATGACTTCTGGAGAAATGTCCCTGCCTCATCAACTCTACATCACGTTTTGCACCGCAAATTGCGTTTGAAGTTTTAAAGCTGGATGAATGTGTGAGCTTGATTACAGACATTCATGCAGATAAGATTGTGGAAGAGAAGTTACATTGCAGCACTACACCCTTTGTACAATTCTGTACCAGACCTTTGCAATTCTGTAATAATTTAGCAGTTTACTTGACTTAAAAGCAGCTGGAAAATGCTTTTTCCAAGCTCTGAACAACTCATTCTGTTTAAATCCACCACTCAGTCTGGACTCTGACTCAATGAAATTAATGGCTGTACCATATTCCAGCTTTCAGAACTCTCAGATCAGATATATTTGCAGGATTCAATGGGATATACAGGAATAGGAGGAATAAAATTTTGTTTCCTCACACAGAAAAGGCAGTAAAAAAAAAGTGAGAACAACGTTTTCACCCAGTGCCGAAGATCAAGGAGAAGTGGCAAGTTCAAACTGAGTATCTCAGGAGTGAGAACTCATAGAGAGTTTAATCCCGAGGAAACAAAGCAGATCAAAAGGCTCTGGCTTCAGAAATGCTGTAAATGTGCGTGCACAGGCTACTGAAGAGATCTGGTGCTTCTGAGCAGGGAGAAGATGAGATCCTACTGCTTCCAAGGGATATTGTTATCAACACAGCAGTGTCCAGTGTCACCTTCAGAAAACCTTGCTGCCTCCTTTTGCTCTGGTTGTGGAGCAGCACCCTGACCCCAGAGAAAAAACATTAAAACACAAAATACAATAAACAGTCAGCATATGGAGAGTGCTAATAGAGCACGCACTGGGAAAGCAAGATGATGCTTCCACTTTGCCACTAATGCCACAAATGACATTGTCATAGACACTGCCAGTTCTGCTCTGCTCAGCATTTCAGAAATAAAAGAAAGCTTTCTGTCAAGAACACAGTGATGATGATGATGGTGATGATGATGATGATGATGATGATGATGATGAAACCCAAATTCTTCAACCAGCATACAGAGGCACAACAGCAGCAGGGCAGATAAACAATCTGGTGGGTGCTCCGTGTGCTCCACTGACAAGGGGTGACACTCACAAGGCACTGCCTGGAAGTACAACTTGGATTGCAATCCATAGGAGAATCTGCAGTATTTGCTTTGCATCTCTACTTGTTTTGTGAGTTTGAGTCAGTTTGCATTAATGTGGATTTTCATCCCCTAGGGACAACCGGCATGAAGGAGATAAAGTAAGAGAAGTAAAGGAAGAAGCGAGATGGAGGCACAGCTAGTTTTTAGGAATATAGTGAACAACTCAGTATTTTAGGCATGTCACAGCCATTCTACAACCACACTGCAAAGCTGGCAGTTACAGCCTTGCCCAAATAGGCATCCACAATTTCCTTTCAGCCCTGCTGCCAAACACATCTTGAGGCTTCTAAATGTTTGGGTACCAGAGGGTGGAAACCCAGTGTAGCAATATCCTCCATGCAGGGACTTTTGTGAGAAGTTCATTTTGCTCCAAGGGATTTTCTGCAGACAGAAATCGTAGAGGGCAATAGCCTAATAGGATTTTTAAAAAGGACTGCTCAATGGAAATACCCACAGTTACAATAGAAGTAGGAGCTCTGGAGATAATTTTTGGAGAGATGTAGCCCCCTCCATCTTCAGAGTAGAAGGCAGTCATTAAACTGCTCATGTTTCCAGATGAACTTCCTTGCATGAGTTTCTTATTTCAAAACTGCCACATGCCCAAGATTAATGCCTTTTTCCTCAGAGGCCACGAGCAGCAGCCTTCCTCAGAAACGGTGCAGTGCAGTGACCTGACACTGAGGTATGAGACTGAAATAAATACAACTGCTTCTGCTTTTTGCCATAATCTGTGATCACACATGTGTCCAAAGCACTTCACCACATCCCACAGGAATTCAGGCCCTGGGGATGCAGAAGCCCTCTGTGCAGTTCTTGGCATGCCTGGCCAAGCAGAGGGGAGCAGGATGGCAGGCACTCAGGCAGTGCTAAAACTTCAGCAGCATCATCACAGCCTGAGGAGTGTGCTGAGAAACTTGAACTACAAACAATAAATTCCAAAACGCAATACTTCCCGAGCAATCAACTCCAAGGGTAGGAAGGAAACAATAAGACCAAGCCAGCTGCAGGTCAGTGTTATTGCAAGGGCATAAAAACTGCCTGAGGACCAGCATTGTTTTCTTTCAAGATGGGGAAAGGTTCCTTCTCCTGGGATTTCAGCATCCAAAAGTCTCCATTAAGGCTGGTGAAATCCAAGCCTCTGCAAACTCTTCAACATTGTAAAATTGGTTCAAACAACTAGTGAGAAAAATTTTCATACATTTTCTCTTTTTCTTCTGGGGTTTTCTCTGAAGTGGAATCTGCTCTTACAGGTAGATTTGAAGATGGAGGAGCACACTACTCCTAGCCACAAACAGAAAAGCTGAACACACATCAGAACAATCATATTTGCCAGAGAAGACAGGAGAAGGAAAATTCACAGTCAAAACTGGAACATTATTGCACCATATGCTTTCCAACAGCCAAGCACAACAGGGGCCCTGCACAATCCTTGCCTTACTGCACCCTGTTGTATTTCCACCTGGAAAGACATATGGCAGTGCCTAGGAGAGAAAATGTTCCTTTTTCTTTTTTTATTTTCCTAATGTTAATGTTATTTCCCAGCTTTAAAGGAACATTTGATTATGAAACATGCTCAGCCCAAGGATGAAAAAAGTCTTCCTATCTCTTCCCACTAGTGACAAAAACAGGTCCATTGGCCTATTGGTATTAGGACCAAATGAAAATTTGAAGTCATGGATACTACTTTGTCTCATGCATCACTGACAAAATTGTCTTCTCTGCAGAAACCTGGCGCCTCACAGTTATGGCAGAGATGCTAAAAATTGTCCTGGAAGTGTGACCTTACAAAAATAATCCTTCTGCTTATGAAATGAAAAACACTGCTTTGTAAAGAACTGACCAGGAGCAAACATTCAGCCCAGCAAGAGTCACTTTTATCCCTAATTACAGTCAGTCTTAAAATGCCATTTTTTACTGAGAGCACATTCAGCATTACAGGAACCTACTCATGGCTGCTGCTGGGTGAGGGAAGCAGTAATTATGTTTAAAGATGTAAGAATAAAAAACCACACAAAAAGCTCTTACAACTACCCTCTCATCACTGGGGTAAGTAGAAATATTTTAACAGTGATTTTGTTGTAGCAGTAATGCTTTTCACCTCCTTTCACAGTAGCTCTGAAAGAGGTATGTTGATCACTTCTGCTAGAAGAGGGCTATATTTAAAAGGAAAACCTGCATAAAGTTGATTATGACAAGTCTCACTTCCCCCTACCACCACTGGGTATGAGAGCAATATGGTGAAACTCTGTATTTATTTCACCAGCCTTGATTAATATAATTGTGAAGGGTTGTTCCACCTCCTTTAGTGAGGTTGCCCTTCCTCTGGCCACCCCAAACGTAGCCCTGTGACATCCTCTGCCTAAAAGGGGCACATCTGCCTTAGCAGACTGTGACCAGAGATTGCCCCAGGCAGCTGATCCAGCTGGGCTTCCAGGTGACTACTCCTCCATCAAAGATTTTAAAGTGGTCACAGTGGTTTTATCACTGAGTCACAGAATCATTCAGGTTGGCAAAGACCTCCAAGACCATGGAGTCCCAGCTGTGTCCAATGCCCACCTTGTCACCAGCCCAGAGATGCCCAGGCCTTCCTTGGACACCTCCAGGGACAGGGACTCCAACACCTCCCTGGGCATCTCCTTCCAATGTTCAACAACACTTTCCATGAAGGAATTCCTCCTGATGTCCAACCTGAGCCTGCCCTGGCCCAGCCTGAGGCCGTTCCCTCTGCTCCTGTCCCTGTTCCCTGGAGCACAGCCCGACCCCCCCGGCTGTCCCCTCCTGTCAGGAGCTGTGCAGAGCCACAGGGGCCCTCCTGAGCCTCCTTTGCTCCAGCGTCAGCCCCTTCCCAGCTCCCTCAGCCTCTTCTGGGGCTCAGCCCCTTCCCAGCTCCGTTCCCTGCCCTGGACACGCTCCAGCTCCCTCATGCCTTCCGTG